TGTGTTTGCTTTTAAATTGTCTCTGGTGTCTCCAAGTGGGATACCAGAGGACAAAAGGGCCAGGAAAGTGTATGGTGCATGTGTTTGGCGCATGCTTGTGGGATTGCCTGTGTGTAGAGTGTGGTGTGGTATTGTGTAAATAGGTCGATTTTGTGGTGTAATATGTGTGGCTAGGGGCTGTAGAGAGTGCGTGTATAGGGGCATAGTGTTATAGGGGATGTAGCGAGTGTGTGCATACGGGCAGTAGTGTGTGTGTATAGGTAACGTAGTGTGTGTAGGGGTTGTAGAGAGGGTGTGTTTAGAGAATGTTGTATGTGTTTGCTTACAAGGAATGTAGTGTGTGTGTAGGTGGTGCAGTGTGTGTGTGTAAGAGATCTAGTGTATAAAGGACCCAGAGTGTGTATAGAAGATTGTGTGTGTGTGTATGTGTGTAGAGGATTAAGAGTGCATATAGGGTAAGGGATCTAGCGTGTATCTGGAGCGTAATGTGTGTAGTGGTGCAGTGTGAGGGGTGCTGTAGTGTGTGTGTAAGAGGGGTGCTGTGTGTGAGGGTGTTTTTATCTGCTGTCACATTCTAGGTTTCTAATTTTCTTTGTCTGTTAACTCACTGAGGGTTATTTTATATATATATATATATATATATATATATATATATATATATATATATATATATATGTGTGTGTGTGTGTGTGTCTCTGGGGGTGCTGTGTGTGTATCTAAGCTGTGTGTGTGTGTGTTTGGGGGTGCTGTGTGTGTTTGGGGGTGCTGTGTGTGTTTAGGTGCTGTGTGTATCTGAGGTGCTGTGTGTGTGTCTGGGGTTGCTGTGTGTGTGTCTGGGGTGCAGTGTGTGTCTGGGGTGCTGTGTGTGTCTGGGGTGCAGTGTGTGTCTGGGGTGCTGTGTGTGTGTGTGTCTGAGGGTGCTGTGTGTGTCTGGGGTGCAGTGTGTGTCTGGGGGTGCTGTGTGTGTGTGTCTGGGGGTGCTGTGTGTGAGGGGGCTGTGTGTGTCTGGGGGTGCTGTTTGGGAATTAATTTTAAATATATATATATTTTTTTATTAATAATTTTTTTTTTTAAAGTTATGTCTCCCCCCCCCTCCCTTCTTACCTTTAGCCTGGGAGGGGGGGAGGGAGGAGGGGAGCCGTTCTGCCTGGGAGGGGGAGCCATGCTGCCTTCCCTGGTGGTCCAGTGGTGAGAGTGAACTCTAACCTGTAGGTTAGAGTTCACTCTCGCGAGATCTGAGCGTTGCCGCGGCAACGCTCAGAATCCAGCTAGAGGACCGGCGGAGCAGCTTGTTAGAGCTCCGCCGGGTCCTCCCTCCCTCACCCAGCCGGCGGCCGCATCTCCGTGCCTGTGGGCCGGTCAGGGGGATCGTTGATCTCCCCACCGGCCCATGGAGGCACTATGCAGGGCCAGCGCTCGGATAGCACTGGCCCTTCAGGGGCCGGCCGGGGAGATCCCCTGCCGGCCTCGGCCCCGCGGCCATCGCGGCCCACCGGGCATTTGCCTGGTATGCCCGATGGCCAGTCCGGGCCTGCCAGGAGGTGATGACAGTCCAGGTGAACCGGCAATACAAGCGGAACGCCGCTTGGACTCTGGCCTTTGCCAGCCAGGCCATTCCTAGTGACATCCACTCCAGGGGGAGAAAAGAAGGCCTGTGAGGAGGCGGGGGGGGCAATAAAGAAAGAGGGGGGGACGACAAATAATGAAGAACCACAGGAAAGGGGGGGGGCCCACACCACCCGCGGATTCCACCCGGGCAAAAGAGGGAGGGGAAGGCCGGGACAATGAGACCCCCCGGAGCCCATGAGGGGGATCCAGAACACCTTCCCCACCTTATACACCAAATAAACGGAGCACTCCTTAGGAAGTTTTTCAAAAGTGTATTTGAACGAGTAATCAACACTCCTGGGTCTTTATCAAGATATTGTCGAAACGTTGATTACTCGTTCAAATACACTTTTGAGTGCTCCGTTTATTTGGTATTTATTTTTGCGCTGGAAGCACCCAGGTATTATCAAATTTATATTAATTTATTGATGGTGAGTGCCAGAGGTTAGAATATATTTATATATATATATATATATATATATATATATATATATAGTTGGGTGAAAGCGTTTGTGGACCGACAATAGATTCTTGCGGACTTGTGCCGTTCCGCTTAAGCTTTCACCTGAC